GATAGAAAAAAAATTAAGATTGAAAACAATTAGGTGCTTATGTAGAAAATAAGAATGCATGGAGTTAAACAAGCTAAATGAGTATTGCAGGGGAACTTAGACTTATTTGGACACTTAAAAAGAGCTCTGCATACTGGAGACTATGTGAGATTTTTTTGAAGCCAGATTGTCAAAAATACTCGCATTCTGGGTTTTCTGCACCTTCCTCAGGAGCCTTCAAGAGCCACCATCTGTGGCAGGATTCTGTACAGGCCTTACATGTGATTCAGGTCCCTTCTGCCCAGGCTCTTAGTGTCACCTATTACATTAATTTAATATTAATTATTTATTAATCCAATAAAGTCAATAACTGGCCCAGTTATTGAATTTATTGGATTGAATGACAATATCAAAATACTTAAAGCAAGTAGCGCAATTTAGAATTACTTGTGGAAACCTTTGCTGAAGAAGCCATACAAAGAATGAAAACAAACAAGCAAGTAAATCACTGAGTTTTTCAGCTTGAAAATTGTCAACCAACCAAAGGTTTGATTGAATTTTGAAGGTAACATTATTGATAAAAAAATCAACTTCCCAAAAGTAAATTAGTATTTTTGTCAAAATTTTTCAATTTCAAAATAGAACATTTTATTCACCCATGTCTCCAGTTATGCTATATATTCTTGAGCACCATCTACTGGTGCTGCATTATTAATTAGCTATTTATGAATATATGAATCACTTCTCTAATAAAATTAATTAGAATCACATAATCTTTCCAAGTATATTTAAAATTGAGAAGGCAGAACATAGCCTATTATTTATTAAATTAATGTTTCCTCTTAATAGCAGAGAGAAAACTAATACTGGGGAAATTCACTTAGAATCTGAAATTAATAGAGAAATGCATTAAAATCTTAATGGTTTGTAGCATCCTGGACCAGAAAACAAGTGCAAGTCCATGATTTTTTTTTCCAATTTGCATTTGTTCTCAATCTGTTGGAACAACAAAATATTTTATTCTCTTCTTATTTAGGTATTTAGTGAATTTTATAATGCCTGCAATATAGCCAGCATCTTCCATTTTATTTCCTTTCTTCACACCAAATTACATAACATTTCTCTTGAAGTGGTCACACCAGCTTTGGATTTAACATTTTCCTGACTCAGAGCTGGGAAATACAGCTTGGTGTTCTGCAGAATAATATGTAATGCAGAGTAGAAAGTCTATTCTTGCCAAAGGGGATTTTGAAGGGCCTTGCATATCTGCGAAAAGTGGGACGTGGGAAACAGACCGGGGGCACTGCTACATAAGCCAAGAGGCTCAGTGTAACTATCCCTCAACTCTTACCTCTAAATTCAGTCTGTAACAACAGTTTCCTTTCTTGTGTACACAGAAGGACATATCTAAGCGTAACTCTGGAGTCAGTTCAACACAATGATTATGATAACAATAATAATAATGAACAAAGTCCTTGTTGAAAACAATTTTAAGGTTTTTTTTTAAAAAAATGTGTGCCTTCAGTACTGGGGATAGACTGTCTTATTTGCTCAAAGGAGTGACACTGCAGGCTGCAACAGTGACCTTTACCTGAAACGAGTCCCCCTAAGAGTGACTGGTGATTGAGTAAGAGAACAGTCCATTCTCCAAAGCCACTTGCTTTAGACTGTGGTCTTCCTTTTTAAATTTGCACCAGAACTGTCAGTGGTAATTCCAATTCCAACTGTGCTGAATTTTGTGCTATGTTCACTAAAATCTGGACTGAAATCATCTAGCTGCTGTCACCAAGAGAGCGAAGTTCTCAAAGTGCTTCCGCAGATCTGGAGGAAAAATCCCAACTAAACAAGCCCTTTAATTTATTCCATCCAACATATTAAATTGGGTAAGCCTCATTTTTCTCATTAATATGGACATTACTTAAAAACATTACTGTCCTCCCTAGTTTGGATCAAGCCCAACCTCGCTGAAACAATTGCATTGAGTCTAGAAAGCAGCACTATAAATTTAGCATTCACTATGTTGTGCCTGTCCCTACAACACTACTACTGAGCTACATAACACTTCCTTCAGTGCCTTGATACTTTCTTTGTAGTACAGATGGCACCACGTGCACCATGCAGGGCTGACAGCCCTCCCATGAAACACTGTGGGATTGCATTAATGCATTATTCCTAGGTTTTAACAGAGGCACTCAAACAAGATTGATCTACTCAATATTTCCAAATTATGTGCATAGGTTCACTTTGCATCTGCCCTTCAGGCTGTAGCTTAGGAATAAATGTACACACAAAAAAGGACCATTCCAAACACAAGTGATCCGCATGCCCAAATTAAACAAATGTATTGTCACATTTCTACCTATTTATATTTTTCAGACTTAAACATATCCTGACTCTCACTTCTAGACTATCAAAATAACACACAGACATACAAAATAACATTTTTTCTTTTATCTCAAATGCTGCATGACACCTGGCAAACAATTTTTTTCTCAAATTGGCCTCAATTGCAGAAGAAAAACACCTGCAAGTGAATTGTAGATATTTGTGTACTCAGAAAAATGGTATAGCTTATTTTAGTTCCAGTCATTAAAGCCTGAATTGTTCAAGTCTGATTGTACAAATCTAAAGAAATTTTCAGAGTGCTCTGTGCTGCTGTCCCATCCCACCCTGTCCCATCATTTCCCACTCCTCTGCCCCTCAGCTGCCATAGTTAATCTAAACATGACTTGCGCAACCTCCATCCTTTCCTTCATTTTGTGGACAAGAGGTTAAGGACTCATCCATCCCAGACTCCTCTCCAGCATTGCCATGTCTTCACAAAATTGAAAAGTTCAAGTTAATTGCTGGGTTGGAATACCTAGGAGATGTCTAAAGACAATTGCTTACCATACCTTGTAGATTCATTATTTTTTAATTTCCACTCACAGTTAACGGAGCTACAACTTGCAAATGCCATAGAAAACAGGTAAGAGTTCATTCAAGTTGGTTTTTTTTTTTGTGACTAAAGGAGATGAAAAAAATATTCAAATATTGCATTGTATATACACCTTTGATTTGTTCTGCTCCAATCTCTCTGCCAATGAACAGAAGTTCCCCTTAAGTACCTTAAGTGACATGATGATCACCCACAGATAATATGGAATGTCACCAAACGTGAGAGAATTTGATTATGTCTAAGCCAGTAACAATTCAGTTTTCATTGCACTGCATTTGCTGGGCATAGACCCTGAATATCTCTCACATTTTCCTGGCTTTGGGTAGGTACTTTTTGTTTTATTTTGACAACAGGGACATAACATATTTATGAGTATAAAAGCTGGCAGGGACGTGGTTTACAGCTTATACCTATGGAAAATACAGTAAAAAGCTATAACCATGTTTTGGTTTATTTTGGTCAAAAGCGGTTTGTGACCAGCAATCCTCTGATCAGAATTTGTGCAGCATATAATTGTAATCATAAAAGCTGTGTTTTACTGGAATTCAAACCTTGCAGGGGCTAGAGCAGGACTGTAGGGGAGAGAAACGCTTTCTTTAAGGACTGATTGGTTTGGATGTTGTCCAGAAATTTAAACTTTCATTTCATCGGGGTGGGAGGTCGTGTCCAAAACCACACAACAATGATTCATATGAACTTTGAAGGCGTGGAGGGGCTGCATTGCCCCACGAACTCAGCATGGCCTTGTGCTCTCTGCAGAATGGCAGCAGTGGGAGCACACGACAGCCAGGCTGAGAGCTGCTGACTGACAGCAGCATTTATTAAAATGTCATCTCCTAATTTTCACGCTGGATATCTGTTGTCGTGCAGGCTGCCCTGATATCTCACGCCAGCGGGAAGAACCAGAGGACAACCCAACCCGACCTGGGGAGCAGGAGGGACACAGCGGGAGGGGACGGCAAAAAAAGCACACCCAGATGTAGCAAAATTTAAAACTAAAACAAAAGAAAAAGGGGAGCGCCTTGCTTGTGGCAAAGCTTTCTTCACGAACCTCCCCGTCTGACCCCGCCCGCCGCCGTCGGTGCCACTTCAGCCGCTGTCGCCTCGCAAACTCCGCTCTCCGCCGGGGCAGCGCCGCTCCCGCGCTGGGCACGGCGCCGGAGCCCGGCCGGCTCTCCATCCTTCCCGTGCGAGAGGGCGGCGGGCGGCAGCGAGGGAGGGGATGCGGCTGCGAGCGGGCACAGCCTCGTCTCTGGCGGGGAGCAAACGCGGCGTTAATTGCAGCCGCGCTGAGAAAATTGCTATTGTTTCTAGTCGGAGGCGGGCGGCACTTTGAGAGGGTTTATCCCGGGAGCCCCGTATCAGTTAATCTGCATCGCGGGGCCGAGCCGACAGCTCCCGGGGCTGCGGCGAGGGGGAGGTTGTGCTTTGGAAGAAAAAACAAGAGGAAGGAGATCAAGTGCGAGCTTCCCGCCCCGGCGTCCCCGTTTCCCTCGCTCCCCGCCCGCGGGTTTTTCTGACGCCGGGGCGCAGCGCTGGCAGCGGCGGCCGGGGAGCCCTGCCGGGCGCGGCGAGCGGCGTTCCTGGGACGCGCCGAGCGCCCGTGACGCGCGCACCGCTCCGCGGGCCCGGCTGTCGGGGCCGGGGGGCGCCGCGGGCACGCGCGGAGCGGGGCGCAGGCGCGCGCACGCGGCCTCTATCCCCCCCCCCTCCATTCCCTCGGCGGGCGGCCGGGGGCGCGCGGGGGCGGGCGCGCACGGGGGCGCGCACACGCGCGCGCGCTCCCGGCGCGGCTCCCACGGAGGCGGGCGGGCTCGGCAGGCGCGGGCGCGCGCGCACGCACGCACGGGCAGAGCCACACGCAGCGGCAGAGACGCGCTCCCGCCGCCGCCGCCGCCGCCGCCGCCGCCGCCGTGCTCCCTGCGCGCCCGGCGCTCACACCGCTCCCCGACATCGGCAGCCGAGGACCCCCCGCCGCTGTCCGGCCATTAGTGCCTGGGGGGAGGAGGAGGAGGAGGAGGAGGAGGGAAGGAGGAATAAGTCTATTAGTAATAACAACAACAACAACAACAACAAAACCCACCAACAAATCCGCACTAGCGCCTTAGTCCTTCTCTCAGACCGTCGACTGCCTGGCGTCGCCGTGCATCGGGCTGCTGTGCTGAGACTTTGTTTCAAGTAAAAAAAAAAAAAAAACCAACAAAAACCAAACAAAAAAAAAACCTTCGCTTGTTCAGCCACTTCCATTTTTTTTTCCCCTGCAGTCTCGCTGGTTTGAGGTGGTTGTGTTTTTTTTGGTTTTTCTTTTTTTTTTTTTTTTTTTCTGTTTTCTTTCCCTTCATGTGGTTGGATTTGGTGGATCCGGAGCCAAAGCTGATTTTTTCCCTCGGTGGGGTGTGCGTGTGGCGTGCGGGGATTTTCTCGCTGCGTTTTTTATCTTCTGCTGCTTTTTTAAATCTTGGTTTTGAACCTGAGCCGGGGAAAATGGGAAACGGTGCTTCCGTCAGAAGGGGAATCTCTCCATCACTGTTGTTGGGACGTGTGCCTATGGTGCTAGTGTTTTAGAGAAATAGCCTGACAGCTTTCGGAGTGGAAGGTAAGGGTGCCCCGGGCATTTCCATTTCCCATTTCCAGGGATTACGACTGGAGAGCTTTTAGCTTGGGATTCCGGGGAGGAGGCGGCGGAGGAGGGGGACAGGCTGTTGCTGAAGGATAGAGAGAGAGACAGCACATACGAAATGATCTCCGCATTTACTTCAGCGCTGCAGTTTAAAAGTTAGAGAAGTCCGTTTTGCGACAGGTCTGCTTCCCTGAGAGTAATTTCCAGCGAGACCGAGAAAACCTGAGGTTTGTGCACGATTGGGGTAATTTGTATGGGGGGTGGGGGGAATTGTTAGGTTAATAGGAAGTTAAAATAAGAGAAGTCAGTGGGTCTTCTGTTGGGGGAAAAAAAAATAAATGGAGTGATGGCGCCGTCTATGTTCGGCTAAACTACAGTGTCACCTAGAAAATCAGTTCGGGGAATATCCAAACTAAATGCCCGTTTCTTTTCAGCAGAAGAGAATTCTCCCCCTTCCCAAGTAGGCGACCGTAAGCCTCTGTGGCCATTCTTTAACTCCTTCCTCCATGGAAAAGAAAGATCTTTTTAATCTGAGTGTCTTAATCCTTGCAGCGAGCAGGTTCACTCTGCATCTAGCAATGCTGCAAACTAACTGAAGGCTGCCGGCACCCTGAGTTCGTGTGTGTGTGCATGTGTGCGTGTGTAATGCACACAGGGAGACAGGGATTAAGACAGTGCTCTGTTTCAGTAGCCGTGCATGAACAAATGCACAACTAAAATGAGGGCTTTACATTTCTTCATAGAAAACAGCCTAGCACTGCAGAGGTCTTTTTTTTTCTAGTGCAGATATTACATAGGATGGAAAAAAGTCAGAGGCTTTTTTCCTTTTCAAACAGAAAAGCAAATAAGCTCCCTTTCTACTTTTCAGATTATAAAATTAATCCTTTTTCATGGGTGGAATTCTTAATTTAGACACTTATTGTCACATTGGCTTTCAACGCCTACACCATCCTGAATAACACTGCGCAGAACTGCATTGCCTGCGAAGTGCTTCAGCAAAGGGGAAATTGTTTCCAGAATTCCCAATAAGTTTCTCTTTTTTAAGACCTTAAATGCTGTACCAGCCCTGTTTGGAGAAGGAGAACCATGTTATTCACTGAGACGGATGCTCAGAAAGGAGAAAATCTGACCATGTGGAGAGACCCAGCAGCAGCCCTGCTTCTTTTTCTTTTTCTTTCTTTTTTTTTTTTAAACCTCTGCTATAAAGAGGGTTAGAGTTGGTACTGCTTTTTGCCCATTTCAGGATTCAGAGTTTGCAATATAATCTAGGAGACAGGAAAATCTCTTCAAGGGAGCTTAATCCGGTGACTTGCTGTGTGTTACGCAATGGGAAACAGAAGATGCCTTGCTGTTTGGTGAGGAGATGAAAAGCCAGGCAAAGACACACATCAAAACTCAGTAACCGTGCCTGTGTGTGTGTGCCTCTGCTCACTGAGCAACAGTGGAAGAGACTGCAATCTAGAGAGTTTTGAAATTAGGTTGGTATCACTTCTTTCTGCTTGCTTTGAAGAGCGGAGAGTAAAAAACTACTCATTTGTAAGAGATAAGCAACTTTTCAAAGGTTAATGCTGAAAACCTTCAACCTGAAATTTTTTGATATCATTATGGAGATAAATGTAACTCAGGTTCACTGTATGAACCTAGGCCACTGTTAAAAGAAACAGAGCATGTGGAGACTCTGAGAGTTGGCAGGTGCAGTAAACCAGCTTTATTTGGAGATACTAGCAGAAAAAATGTAATATTTTTTTTCCTTGTTCAAGCGCAGGGCTGCAAAATACAGGAGCTAATCAGACAGTACAAGTAATTCGTAATCAGAGGGCAAGTGCAGTCCAATAGGTGCAGAGATCCTGCTGTAGCATGGCCAGTTACATAGAGCTACTGATTGTAATACTAATACTGTGATCCATTTTGTATATCCTTAGAGGCTGAAGCACATTGAAATTATTATCTTAAAAAGCTGGCATTTAGTGATCGTGTCAGACCAGCAGTAGTTATATCCATCTGTCTTTGTTTCTTCCTTCAATACTGTCAAAATTTTAATAATGCATTAATCTCAGTATATGCTGCCTTTTTAGAGACCTGGCAGCCACGGTGAAGACATGTAGGCATATGGGAGATAATGTTCTATCTGTAACAAATAGTAATTTGAGCATTTTTAAATTATAGCTGTAATAATTCAGTTACTTCTCAGACTTAGGAGAAAAACAGTATATAACAAATTCTACTGGCTTTCTTGTTCTGTTCTGGTGAAATTCTGCATGTGGGTATCGTATATACACGTACATAACTACAGCAGATGAATTATTTACTTTTTGGATAAATAAATAAATAAATTTCTCTTTTTTTGGTCTGTCAGGTAAGGCATCTGGATTTTTGCTTAAGTTGAGCAGTTCTAGTCCACGCCATGATGACTAAATCCTAGAGAGGAGAGGACATTCCTATTAATAATCTAATAGCTGTTGAGTTTTAATTTGTCCGTGGCAGCCGTGTCTGCGGCGATGGCCGCGTGGTGGCGCTGTGCACACAGCAGCAACCCCGGCCCTTGCGTTATAAAATAAAAATTACCTGCCCTTCTTTCTGAAAGGGGCTCTAACTGCAAGCTTGAAAACAGCTGGCTCGAATATTGGAAGGAGTTTGGTTTTCTATGCGTGAAGAATTCTACTTGCATTTTTATTTCGTTTCATCTCCTGCAGGCCAAATGACATAGGATGAAGGCTGTTCGTAATTTGCTGATTTATATATTTTCCACCTATCTACTGGTTATGTTTGGATTTAATGCTGCCCAAGACTTCTGGTGTTCCACGTTGGTGAAGGGGGTCATTTATGGATCGTATTCTGTAAGTGAAATGTTTCCTAAAAACTTCACAAACTGCACTTGGACGCTGGAAAATCCAGATCCAACCAAATATAGTATTTACCTGAAATTTTCCAAAAAGGACTTCAGCTGCTCCAACTTTTCCCTCTTGGCTTATCAGTTTGATCATTTTTCTCATGAAAAAATAAAGGATCTTTTAAAAAATAACCATTCTATAATGCAGCTCTGCAACTCCAAGAATGCTTTTGTATTTCTGCAGTATGATAAGAATTTTATTCAGATACGTCGTGTCTATCCTATCAACTTCCCAGGATTACACAAAAAAGAAGAAGACCACAAATCCTTCTTTGAATTTTTGGTGTTGAACAAGGTGAGCCCGAGCCAGTTTGGGTGCCATGTGTTATGCACTTGGTTGGAGAGCTGCTTGAAATCTGAAAATGGGAGAACCGAGTCCTGTGGGATCATGTATACAAAATGCACCTGCCCTCAGCATTTGGGAGAGTGGGGAATAGACGACCAGTCCCTGGTGTTGCTCAATAACGTGGTGCTGCCCCTCAACGAGCAGACGGAAGGCTGCCTGACCCAGGAGCTGCAAACCACCCAGGTCTGCAATCTCACCAGGGAAGCCAAGCGGCCGCCAAAGGAAGGTAGGTGCTCCTTGGAGGGGGGGGCGGAATGCCATGCCAGTGTGTAAGTCCTGCTGCCAGCTCTCCTTAATACTCACATTCGTTTCAGTTGCTCTCCACTCTGGCACTCCTCTAGATGAGGTGAAAGGGCTGGAGAAGATGCACACTCCCTTAAAGGCAGGGAAGGCTGAATTTTCATTTCTAAACTGGCCTAACCTACAGCTTGTAGTTCTGCTGAGCACTGTTGAAACTCCTCACAAGTAGGACCCATCTGTTCTAAGGCCTCACTTACAGTAATGCCCACAGGTGGTGAGCCAGAAATCACTCTCCCCCTCACCATCTCCTTACAGCAACCACCCAGCTGCAAAACCTTGGCCTTCTTGATATGATCCCTCGACTTTGCAAGGAAAACATTTCCAAAGGCATGCAGGCAACCTGACCAAAAGACCAAGAGATTTACCATGTTCAGGACACCTGGTCCCTGGGCCAGACCTCTGCAACCTACAAATAAACCAAGAGCAAATGCAATTCCTAAGGGTGAAGCCTCTGCCTGAGATGCCTGGAGAGGCGAGGCACTGTGCAGGCAGGACATGCTGGTTTAACCTCTGGGAGCTCTGGGAAGGGGCCAGAGCTGCTCCTGCACCCATTCCCCAGGCAGTCCCTGCTCCCGGAGATGGAGGCTCAGAATCTCATTGCAGTATTAGCGAGGAGGGGGTTGATGTGTCATTCCCAGCAGCTGCTCCAGTTCCAGCAGCTGCTTCATGTCCCTGCTGGAAAAAGGGGAGGGGGCTGCTGCGGAAGGGTGGGAAGTCAGGGATCCAGCAGTTAGCACGGCAGCCTTCCACCTAGTCCCTCTGCTAGTCCCTCCTGTTTTAGCCTGAATTCTGGAGCGGTTGGGGCTGGAGGGTGATTTTTAGAAGGACTTTGAAGGGTTGTGAGGCAGGGAAAGCGTGGGTTGAACATAGATGGGGGCACTGGATGCAGGCTCTTGGCGAGGGGGTCCTTCAGAGCTGCCATGCGGGAATGGGGGGAGGGTGAGGATAAATCATCGAGCCCGGGGTATTGCATATTAATGCAGGAAATGTTCCCTCTCTCCTTGTTTTTT